TTTATTGAAAAATTCATCTCTTCTCCCACTATCTGCAGTGCTCCCTCTGTCATATATCAAGTTTTGTATGTTGTCTATTGCTGCACAACAAATTACCCCAAAATTTAGTAGCTGAAAATAACACACATTATTTCACAGACCAGATAGAAAGGTCTAGCTGGGGTGTCTTTCAAGGCCAAAATTAAGGGGCCAACAGAAGCAACAGTCTTCTCGAAGCTCTCTTGGGGAGGACCCACTTCCAAGTTCACTGGTGGCTGCTGGCAGGACGGTCCTCACTGGCCATTGACTAGAGACTTCAGTCCCTGCCACAGGATCTCTCCACAGCATTGCTCACAAAGTGGTCACTTGCTTATCCTTTGGGTGATATAACAGAAAAACAAAGAGAGCACCTAACACAAGAATCACAGCCTTTTAAAATCTCAGAAGTGGCATACCATCTCTTCTGTCATATTATTCTATATAAGAAGTGAGTCACTAAATCCCATTCATACTCAAGCTGAGGGAATTAAACAAAAGCCTGAATATCAAGAGGTGAAGATTCTCAGCTGTCTACTACAATTTCCATGTATTTGGCTATAACAGTGTCCTTACCATACTGTCTTAATTACTATAGCTTTATACTAACTCTTGTTATCTGGTACTGTGTGTTTCCCTACATAATTATTCTTCAGTACTCCTTGCCTAGTTTAAACTTTAAAAATAGAATCTAGACCAGATTATTTCAGTTTAATGAAAAATTCTTTCAGGATGTTTATTGGAATTGTATTACATTAATGGATTAATTTGTAAATTGGTATTTATGATATGGAGTCTTCCTATCCATTTATATGTGTTATCCCTCACATATTCTGAGAAGGTCACTAAAGGAGTTAGAGGGGAAAAAGTTTGAGGTGTTTTTTCAATAATTGGGTGGTAATGCACAGTGTATGGAGGGTTTGTGTATTGCCTCAATTCCTGAGACTAATAGATTCCAGACCTATCTCCATGTTGAAGTTCTTTAGTCCTGCTCCACTGAGTTTTGATGAAATATACTCAGTAATTTAATAGTAGGCATGCACCAAATTTCTGTTGAAGTTCTTATCCTGCCCATCTTTTTGCCATGGACGGTTTCTGAGCCAGTCAGTCCTAATCCAGGCTGCCAATAATAGTTCCTTCATCACAGAAGTAATCACAGGGCCTCGGCCAGATCAATCCTGCTCCTTCTTGGATGTTATTAAACTGGAATTCAGGGAAGAGGTTCACTTGCTCTCCCACTGAGAGGCTGCGAGTTGCCTGATTTGTGGAGATAGTGTGTCTTGAAAAAAATCAAGTTGAGAGTCATGCGACATTCGACATTTGTCACTTACGGCTGGAGTGGTTCATGCTGGTAGTTGGTGGTGCGGTGCAGACCTTTTAGGAACCAACAGCTTGAGCTCTTTGCAGGGTCCACCACAGAGCCAGAGCAGATGCTAGAATGACAGATGCAGGTTGCAGAAAACCCTCACTCTGTGTATGGTCTGACCGACAATGTTGAGATGATAGTAGGAAACGAGAAGATGAAGGCAGAAGTCATCAAAACAGAAGGTGGATTTACAGTCTTTGCCAACTCGTGCCTACCTGGATCAGAAGGTTGTGCCTATCTTATTACAGGGACTTGCTGTGCTTGCAAAGACCACCAAATCCCATTGAATTTCTAGCATCCTATCTTTTAAAAAACAAGGCATAATTTGAAGAACTGACTTATTGGGAAAAGCAGAAAAATATGGTTGCTACTGTAGATTTTACATGATTAAGAGGCAGCTTTAATTGCCATGATTTCTCCCTTTTTTGGAAGTATAAGAATCTTCAGGACAACAGAATTTATTTCCAGAGTTATGGAAGAAAACATATGTCCCTTATTTTGATTTAATCACCATACTTATTTAGTGAGTGTATTCTGTGCAATGTTTTCTCAGATTGTCTTTAACTTTGTTTAAAAAATGACCTTCAAAATAAACTGTCATAATACAAAAAAGAAAGAAAGAAAGAAAGAAAAAAATGAAGTTAAGAAGCAGAAAGAAGATGAGAAATGAAAATATGTTGGTGGCGGTCAGGTGACTAGTGTCATATGCATCACTGCCCTTCTTAATTTTGGTTATGTAAGCCAATAAATTCCCATTTTGCCCAGCGCTTTGCAACCAAAATCTTGACATCCATCTATATTCTTACATATTTACATAGATCCTCTTATTCATATAAAATCTGTCAAAGCTTATTCTTCATTCACCTATTGCTATAAAGCCCTTTTTCTGCATTACATTTATACCAATTGTTACCATTTAGTCTTTTAGCAAGTAGAAATACTTATTGAACATCTATTATGAGCCAAAGTGTGGAAGACAAGGAGAAGACTAAGGCTTCCAGTGAGCACAATCAATATATATGTCTTAGCTGGGAGTGATGGCTAGCAGATGTAACTCCAACTGCTTGGGAGGCTAAGGAGAGAGGATTCCTTGAGCCCAGGATTTGGAGGCAAGCCTGGGCAACATGGAGAGACTTGTCTCAAAAAAGAAGAAAAAAATACATTATATAATGTGTGTTAGCAAAATTAATGTAAAAAGCATTGCAGGTTATGGAAATTTGGATTAAAAGAAGGTGTGGGGAAGTTTAAAACTTATTCTTTTTTTCTAAAGTTTCTATCATTGAAATATATGAAATAAATTGACAATAGATTAATAGGAAAAAGAGCATGTATGTTTATTAATGTTCACAGAAAAATCTTAGCATGGGAGTCACACACAAAATATGAGTCTCCAAGAAGAGCTTGGAAATGTAAGTTTCTAAGATAAAAACAAAGAAATGGGGAATAGGGACATGGGTTCTGGTGGGAAGTAAAGAGGTGACAAAGTATGAAAAGTGGAGGGGAGGAGATACACAGGGAACAAGAGCTGTTTTGTTATGTAGAAGTCTGCCAGCAATAGCCACCTATTAGAAATTTGTATCTGGGCTGATGTCAGACTCCAGTCTCTGACTGTGAAAAGATCTTTCTATGGAGAAAAGGGGGTATCAGATAGACAATCGTGTTCGTCTGCTGACAGTTTGTCATTAATTTAGATTTTCTTTACTGACATAATTTCTCCTATGAAAGGGGAGCCTTTCAAAGCCATGCCTGTATTCCAGAAGTATACAGTTTCTCTGACATACTCAAAATATGCCAAACAAATATATTTCAGGGTCCTGTTGTACCTGGATGAGGTAGGGCACCAAAGATAGCAGGAAACAGTTTTATTTGGCTGCAGCCAGGTTCAGAGGGTACAGCTTTTGCTGTAACCATTTAATCCCTGAATCTGGAGTTCAGGTAGTTTCAAAATTTTATACCCAGCATTGAGGGGAGGGGCTCAGAAGTTCACAGACTGCAGAAGTTCACATAAAAGCAGCTTTTTCTTTCACTGTTCTGGGCAAGTGGTTAGATGCAGGGCAGGCTGAACGAATATTAGCTGCAGGATAACCGGGCACTCAAACCCTCCTCTGTCTTGTTCTCAAGGCTGAACACTCAAACCTGCCCCCCCCAAAGGCTGAACACTTAGCCCCCCTTATGCCAACAAGGCAGCTTGTAAACCCATAGACCCTATTAGATTTAGGCAGCACAGCAGAAGGACTATAAAAACTTTCTCCTGCTGGGCTCTTTCTCTCTCTCTCTCCTCTTCTTTCTCACTGCTGCAATAAAGATCTCTTGGTCCCTCCAAGAGTGTTGTGGTCACTTTCCTTTCACAAGGTAACCCTTCAAGGACAACACCTGAGGAGGGAACAGCTTCTTCTCCCTTTTCTCTCCTCCCCCTGCCAGCTACTACCATGGAGCCGAACTGGAAACTTCTTGAAATGTAGATAGCTCTGTGAAGCTCCAGCTCAAGGCCAGAGGCCTCGTAAAAATAGAGCAACAGGAAAATAGGAATACATTGAACTCTTTTGTACAGACTCTTTTGCTGGTAGTCTTAAAATCAATTATGGTAAAGATTTCTGGAGAAGCTTAAATAAGATTTTCTTTGGAGAAGGGGGTGCCACTGCAGTCCCACATAGTCAAATCATGCATTTAATTCTCATCAAATCCTTCAGGATATAACAGGAGTCTAATAATACTTAAAATATAAATCTTGCTGTTCAACCACTGACAGCTTATTTTAAAACTGACACCCCAATACACACCTTTTCTCCTCCCTTTCCCCCTCCCTAGCCTCTGGGGAAGATAGACATTCTTTTCTTCAGCCAAGTTACAGCTTACTGTCCACAGGAATGAAGAAATCCTGAGTTTGGAGTTGGCACCAACAAATCTATAAAACTGCTTTCTCACATACTTTATATACAAAGATATGAAAAATTGTGCATTGTATGTGTAATAAGAATTGTAATGCATTCCGCTGTCGTGTATTCAAAAAAATAAAATCAATTACAAAAAAAAACGGCTCTCTCAAAGCTACCACTTGGATGTGAATTGACTCCTGGCACAAGTGGAGTTTGGCATTTGTACCCCCTATTTAAAAGCTCATGGCTTTCAGTATCAGGAGGCTCAGGGAGGATCAATAATTATTACAAGCTTCTAGAACTAAAATAGAATGGGACCAAAACTTGAACATGGGTTTTTCCACTAAACCAGAGTGGTTTTACTTATCCTGGTCTGCTTAAATTGAGAAAATAAACTTCTGATCTTTACAATTTAAAAAGAATAACTCCCAATTCTCACTTTACATCAGATCCTTATTTTCTATAAAATTGCCGCCCTGACGTAGAGAGGGTTACCCAACTTTCATAACTAAACAGAAGCAAAATTAGGTCATTGGTAATACAATCGCTGCCTCCCAGCAGTAGATTTCCCTCCAACCCCCGCCTTAAGAGCGGGCCTCCGTCCTGCGCACTGCACCTTGGGAGTTGTAGTCTCTAGGCACAGAGCCCTGTGGTCGGAGGCGCTGACTCACAGAGACCCAATCAGAAGATAGCCCACAGCTCTCCGCGTGGCGATTGGCTGAAGTCTGCGACCACCTCCCAGCGGCGCCGTCGCGCTGTCTCTAGCGGAGGCTGCATAGAGGCTGGGTAAGAGGGTGTTGGTGGCCCTCGGTTCCCGGGTTTCATCGTCGGTGATATTGCAGCGCAGCCATGGCAGAACCGCAGCCCGCGACCGGCCTCACTGACGAGGTCGCCCTCAGTTGCTGTTCCGACCCGGATCCTAGCACCAAGGTGGGCACTGGGCCTCCTCGCGCGTCCGGGCCCGGGGGAGCGGATCCCGGGACTCCGCAAGGCATTTGAACCCCTTTCGGCCGGCCCTGCGCGGACGAGGCGTGTGCTGGGAAGAGGGATAATGGAGTCCAATCCCAGGGACCCTGAGATCGGCTAAGAATGGAGGGGATCCCTTACATCAGTTTGTTTCAAAAACCTGCGACCCTGCTTCATTAACTTGTTTATTTTGGGACGGCATTTAGAAGCCAAGCCAAATGAGGGTCAGGTTCCTTGTCCATGGGTGTGACTGTTCCCCAAGTCAGTCGCCATGGCTGATAGAGGAGCAGTTTCAAACTTGTAGTCATAGGTTCAAAGGTGTGTCTATGCTGGAACCTTGTGGCTGCGATCATTTTCTGTAGTCACTCCCAACTCCAGCATCACTCTTGTTTTACAGTTGTGACCCAGTGAGAAAAATGACCTGTTGCAGATTTAGGCTTTCACTTACTTAACATACTATTCTGAGTCAGTGTAACTCACTCAGGTGTGGTGCCTCCTGCATTGCCAAGCTAGACACGTCCTCTGCTTGGGAAATTTTTTTCCTGTGGTTATCAATGTCAGTAAATGTCTATGTGTTCATTTAATTGCATCACTTAAAAGTTTCTTGAAGAGTGAATATGGGGGGGCTGGGGTTGTGGCTCAGTGGTAGAACACTTGCCTCGCACATGTGAGGCACTGGGTTTGCTCCTAAGCACCACATAAATAAAGATATTGTGTCCATCTACAACTAAAAAAAAAAAAAAAAATTGAGAGGCTGGGATTGTGTCTCAGTGGTAAAGAGCTCACCTAGCACGGGAGGGACCCGGGTTGGATCCTCAGCACCACATAAAGATAAAGGCATTGTGTTGTGTCCATCTATACCTAAAAAATAAATATTAAAAAAAAGAAAAGAAAAAAATTGAAAAAAAAGTTAGTAAAAGAAGAATGAATATGGGCATTACGCAGATCTCTAAGAGAGGCCCATAGATTGCCAATGACTTGGGTCCCTACTTGTCTGTCCTTTGCCTTCAGGGCAGTCACATACCTCTGATTACTAAAGCCTTTAACTAACTTTTGGTCCCCATGTAGGAAAAAAGTGTTAATCACTGCAAAATTAAGGGGGAAGGAAAAAAAGTGTGTGTGTGTGTGTGTGTGTGTGTGTGTGTACCCTCTCACACCCCTCTCACTTATGTATCACTTAATACATAGTTATTTTATAATATAGATCGAGTTATTCCCAGATAACTGAGCATTTTATGTGCTGGGTTATTACAAATAAACACACACCAACAAACAGATTTAAGGGATGGTTTAGTACTGGGCTATTTAAAACAAAAAAATATTCCAGTGGCTGCAAGTCTAGCTCAGTGGTAGAGAGCATTCTAAGCATGCATGAGGCCTTGTGTGCAATCCTTGGCATAAATAAATAAATTCTGGGGAGTCTTTATAAATATATTAAATATGCTTCCTTGCATCTTAAGTTACATTCCTTATTAGCTAAATTTCTCTTGATGATTTGGAGTAATCATTTTTTTTTTTTTTTGATCAGTAACTTTTGGCCTTTGAAGTACCATGGACATAAAATGGAATACATTATACTAATACTAAAGTACTATAAGAAAAAATGGAATACATAATATTTTTAAATATTTTTTTTAGTCATAGACAGACACAATACCTTTATTTTATTTATTTGTTTTTATGTTGTGCTAAGGATTGAACCCAGTGCCTCACACATGCAAGACAAATGCTCTACCAACTGAGCCACTACCCCAGCCCTGGAATACATAATATTAATACTATTTGTATGTATTAAGTGTGTGAAGCCTTGGATTGGTGGCTTAAGTACATTACTTAATTTAGTCCTCATAACAGCCTTTTTGGATGCATAATTATCTCCATTTTAAAAATATTTTTTAGTTGTAAACACATCTTTAATTTGTTTATTTATATGAGGTGCTGAGGATTGAACCCAGGGCCTCACACATGCCAGCAAGTGCTATACCACTGAGCCACAATTCCAGCCCCTAATTATCTCCATTTTACAGATGAGGAGACTTAGAGAAGTGTTGAGTGGCTTGCCCAAGAAAGAGCCCACATTCCCAACCCCTACCTTATCTGCTTCTGGAATACTGACTCAAGAAATAATTTTGGAATATTCCATGAAGGAGGGGGGAAAAACCCTTAATAAATGCATTTTGGACAGACTAGGAGGATAGGCAAGGTGAGGTCTCCTCCCTTTACCAAACATACACCAACTCTAAAGTAAGATGGACCTGGGTGGGCATTCTAGGGGAAGGGAGCATTTTGGCAAGAATGTGGTAGGATGACAGATGCAATGAAGAGCATGTCCTAAAGAGTTAATTAAATATTTTTGGTTGAAATTCAGGTTATCCAGGCAACAGTGGAGAAGGCCAGCATGGTAGATTGGAGATAGAACATGAAAAGAACCTTGAATGTCACACATAAGAGAGTTTGTGTAGGTAGGGAGAATGATCCAGGACTTTGTAGGGTAGGTTAGAAGGATCCAAGTCTGGATGTGATGAGGTCATTTAATCTCTTCCAGAAGGTGAGGTAAGTGATGCAGGTCTGGTTTGGGAAGCAGAGAGCAGCAAGGGCAGAAAGTCAACTAGTTTACTGAACATTTGCGGCATCTTCATCTCAAGGGCACATCAAAGAATACACAGCTGCACCACATCTTGGTGGTCTTATTTGGCTCAAGAGACCTAATTTCTCTTTGCAAATGGTGATCCGTGATGACCATTTTTTTTATTATTTCCATCAGAGTGCTTTGATAGAATACACAATGTCTTTAATGTTGCAATTATGTCTTCAGTTGTACTACCAATGTCAACTTCACATCATTCTGTAGATATATCTCACACGTACATGGCTCCATATATATATATATATATATATATATATATATATATATATATATATATATATAAATATATAAAATTATTATTATTATTTTTAATGTGTCTCATCTGATTGGTAGGGCATGGTATCCAAGGAAATGTTCACTGTTGGTGACACTTGAACTAAGTTTTGTTAATTAAGGAGGTAACCAGGTAGAGTTGGATGCAGAGTAATGAACAGGAAGAAGAAAGAGGGACAATGGCAGGATAGATGACTGACTGTTCTAGACTCAGTATATATAAAAACACAATGACATCAGTGAACTGAGGCAGAGAATGAAGTTTTAGGTAGTGGGAGTTGAAGTATACAAAATACTCACTTGGGGGGCTGGGGGTGTGGCTCAAGCGGTAGCGCGCTCGCCTGGCATGCGTGCGACCCAGGTTCAATCCTCAGCACCACATACAAACAAAGATGTTGTGCCCGCCAAAAACTAAAAAATAAATGTTAAAAAATTCTCTCTCTCTCTCTCTCTCTCTCTCTGTCTCTCCCTGTCTCTCACTCTCTCTTTAAAAAAAAAAAATACTCACTTGGGAGATGCAAAGAAAAATTGAGGATTCTTAACATGTTTCCTTGTTTTCTCACCTATAAAAATTTCTACTTGGCAAATAGTGTGTATTATTATATATTTATATTATTTATAATATAATATATAATATAATATATATTTATATTATTATATTTATATCTTATATTTATTTATATACTATATATTACATTTTTTTTTGTTTTTAGGACCTTATGTGTGCTAAGCATATGCTCTGATGCTTATCCACACTCCAACCCGGTGTCATACTGGTATATTCATGTTGGTATATTAGACAAGTATGTAATTAAAATAAATACACATTTATTGGGGGTACACCCATTTTTTAAGTGATAAGGTATGAAATTGTAAATGCTTGAGATAAAAGATGAGGTTAAAGACGTATACAGTAACCATATATGCTGCTTTTTCCCAAAGTGTTGAAAAACTACTGAAGGATTGATTTATTTGTGGATGGTGGGGTATTGGGTATTGAACACAGGGCTTTACACACTAGGCAAGTACCTATCACAGAGCTAGGTCCCTAGCCTGAAGGATTGTCTTTTTTTAACCCAGAAATGACAGAAATGGGTTTTTCTTGTAGAAGGATCACTCTGAATTGCATTTAAGTAAGCCTATAAGAAACAGTTGATTGTCCAGGCAGGAACTTGTAAGTACCTAAGCAAGGTAATGGTCATTAGGGAGCCCAGGAGGAGAAAGATTCCAAGAGAGATTAAGCAGACAGGTAAATAGAGTGCTTGGTTTGGGGAAGGAATGTTGAGGGAGGAATCAGGGAGAATTCAAGTGTCTGACTTGGGCTAACAAGGGGTAGTTGAGACGTTGACTCTTGGCAGTATAGGAAGAAGTGTTTGTTTGGGCTGTAATGAATTTGAAGTTCTAACCCAAGTGGAAATGATAAGTAGGTGCAGGATGTGTAAGTTCATAGCTGAAGATAGAGGTATGGGCTGGAGAATACAGATTTGGGGAATCAATAGCAATAGTCAGTAGTGGATACTCTGCTTGTCTGTTTTATAATAACAGCAGCGGCAAGACACATAGTAAGCAGAGTAGCTAAGTGTTATGCTAAGCACTTTCATGCATTATTCCCTTTACATTTCAGCTCAAACATAACAGCTAGAAACTGTAATGATCCTCATTCTAAAGATGTGGAAGCAGGTTCAAGGAAAGTATTGATTTACTCAAGGTTTCAGTTGTAAAGCCAGCATTTAACCATATTGCCTCTCAAAAATAATTCTTCTCACATTTGTGTATTTTTTTTCCTTTTCTTTGCAAGAGAAATGAAAGAAACCTCATGATACTAAAGAAAAGCCCAATAATATTGGATGCAGCTTGGTGAGAAGTATATTATCTCATAGCTCTGTAGGTTAGAAGTTTGACATGGGTCATACTCGCTTAAACTGAAGGTATTGACAGGGCTGTGTTCCTTATTAGAGGCTCAAAAGAATCTGCTTCCAAACTCAGATTGTTCCCCGGATTCAGTTCCTTTTCAGTTGTAGGGTGAGGTCCCGAGTTCCTTGTGGGCTTTCAGTTATTGGGGTGGGGAGGGAGGAGATCTGTCTTTAATTGCTTCTATCTGTACCCCTGCATCTCACAGCCAGCACCTGTAGGTCAGTGCCTCACCTTGGCATCTCTCTGGCTTCCCCTGCTGCCCACCTCTCTTCTGCTGCCTTTTCATATGTCTCTTCTGTCTTTTCATACGTCTTGCCTCTCTCCTCTGTTTTTAAGGTCTCATGTGATTACATGGAACCTATCTAGATAATCTAGGCCAATCTCCGTTTTAAAACCAACTCTCTAATAACCTTAATTCCATCTGCAATGCCCTTGACAGTTAATGTTTGATAGAATAATCAGAGACCTCTTTAGGATTTAGTCCTTGCCTGCAACTCCCTGGCCAAGTGCCAAGTCTAGCCGGGGAGGACAGCTTGCCCCTAGGAGGCCTGCCAAATAGACCCTTTGAACTCACCTCTGGTCTGGCCTGAAAAAGCACACAGCTTTTTCTAGAGTTGTCCTCCTCCAGCAAACATTGTAATTGACAGGGAAGCAGCAGTCACTTGCATTACTTGGGAGGGGAGAAGTTTTTGTACTGTTCTCAGTGCCTTGTTTTAATCTATACTTAGACAACCATAAATTCTGTTTTTGTCTCTTCATTGCAGCCACAGAATGACTCTGTAGGTGTTTTTTGTGGCTGGGTGAGGAGGGAACCAAGGCCTAGCTAGTGCCCAGACACTGGGAGCCATTTTTCTCTTTCTCAACTATACACTAAACATGAGGCCTCTAGGAGGCCAGCTCCTGACTGAGAAAAGCAACTGAATGCTCTGGAAACATGGAACCTCAGAGCCAGCTCATTTGTATGTGATTATATGCTATGAATAAAGAATTTAATTCTTATATCAATTTAAGGTTGGTTTTAATAAGATATAGTAGTTTTCAAGCTAGTTTTGTCTTAAATGAGAATTTTTTTAGTTGTAGATGGACACAATATCTTTATTTTATTTATTTATTTATTTTTTATATGGTGCTGAGGATTGAACCCAGGACCTCACACATGCTGGGCAAGCACTCTAACACTGAGCCACAACCTCAACTGTAACACTTATATATATATATTTTTTAATTTTGTAGTTGTAGGTGGACAGCATGCCTTTATGGTGCTAAGAATCTAACCCAATGTCACACACATGCTAGGCAAGCGTTCTGCTACTGAACTAAAGCCCCAGCCCCTACATTTGTATTTTATGTAATGAGTTACAGGAGAGAGATGATGGTAACTGCAAAGAGAGTAGTGAGAATTTTCAGACCCGTTTTGTCACATCCATGGGTACAGCAGAATAAAACTATTGGGGAACACTGACAAGGTTGACACATGGGCTTGGAAGGTACCTATGGTAAAAAGAGACCTGAACTTAAAAATCGGGAGGCTGGAACAATTAATTTGATCATTTGGAATCAGCCTTGCATCTATAAAACTGGGACGAGTTTTTACAAAGACAAACCCCTAAGCCAAATGTTACTGTTAATGCTAATAATAATCTTATTTCCATCAGTTTATATGCACTATCATTTTATCAGTCAAGCCTTCTGTTTCCTGATGTGGAAATTATAGTTTCACAAAGGTGTTAGAGACAGTAGCTTTTTACCTTTTAGTTATTTTGGAGTATAGGGTCATGTGACTTTTTGCTAATTTATATAGTTACCTGTAAATGGTTCAGGAAACACATTTCTCATGCATTCACTCAACAAGTATTATAGCAATTGTATTCTTTATTTATAACATCAAATAAAGTCTTGGTTCAGGGGGCTGGGGATGTGGCTCAAGTGGTAGCGTGCTTGCCTGGCATGCGCATGGCGCTGGGTTCGATCCTCAGCACCATATACAAATAAAGATGTTGTGTCCGCCAAAAACTAAAAAAATAAATATTAAAAATTCTCTCTCTCTCTCTTTAAAAAAAAAAAGTCTTGGTTCAGCTTGTGGAAAGGTAGCCTAGAATAAAGGTTGTAAGTAGTTTCTTTGGGAGGTGGTCATAGAAAGCTCTGTGGTTTGGGGAAGGGTGGCCTACAGTAAGTAGTGTTTGCTTGTGATCACTGTGGGCACCTGGGATTCCATTCCTCTGAGGAACTGTATGGAGCATGCCCCAGAATTGTCCCACCAAGGAGCAAGAAAGCCACATCTTTGCTATACCCTTGGTTGAGGGTAATCCTGGAGATACAAACTTCTTGGCACTTCAAGGCTGCTACACTGGGACCTGCACAAGAAAGCACTGCTGGGCGGAGCCACAGGAGCTTGTGGGTGATAGGAACTGTTACCAGGCAGTTTTCGTAGTAGGCTGAAGGGACAAAGGCGTTTTCTTTCTTTCTTTCTTTCTTTCTTTCATTGTATTACAATGGTGGACTGTCTGTATCTTGTTATAAAAAACACAATTAATGTTGGTAATGCATAGTAAAAATTAAAGGTTTTTAGTATATTCTGTTTTTCTTTAGGATTTTCTGTTGCAACAGACCATGCTGCGAATTAAGGATCCTAAGAAGTCATTGGATTTTTATACTAGAGTCCTTGGAATGACGTAAGACCATTTATTGGAACCTTATTGTTTAAATACATAGCTTTGCCAATATAGGTAATGCTTTCAGGCCCATTTAAAAATTGTAGTTTGTTTCAAAAGTAACAAAAGTTCTTTAGGTAAAGAGTCTGTAAGGAGGTCTGAATAAATGGGGTTTAGATTAACTTCCCTTTCTTTATTCCAGCCTGGCTTAGTGGCAACAAAAGGCACAAATACTTTCATTTTCTCCAAATTCTTTTCTCTTTGAGAGCTGCCTGCTAAATCCTTAATAATATTCACACCCTTTTTGATGTTCTGACCACTTTTAGCCTATTGTTAACTTCAGAAAACATATATATAAGGACTTTTTACTCAGAAAACGAATGGTTTTACTTAAAATTGGCCCTCTTCCAATTTTATAGACTACATTCTATTTTACTGAACAGGTAAAAGCCACTCCTCTTTTAATCCTTAAAGCATATTTACTTATTTACACCAACTCTCCAAAAAAGGTATTGTGTCCATCTACAACTAAAAAAAAAATTATGAAAAGAATAAAATTAAATGATCTTTAATTTACTGCCTAGATGCTCTCCACCAACATTGAGAGAAAATTTTAAGTAATATAGTAGGTTTGTTTAGAAAATCCAACCAGTTTAGAAAAACATAAGATGAAAAATGATAAGTTTCCTTCCCCTGGTCCTCCCTAAAGATAACTGGTCTTACAGTTTCTTTGATTTTGTCCGGCATGTGTTTATGACATATTTAAAGGGCATAATGAACACAAATTTATTGGACACTTGCTATTTGCCAGGCACTTCTCCCATTATTTCCTCTAGTCTTTACAGTAGGTCTTTGAGCAGCTCATATCCCCATTTTTGCAGGTGAAAAAAGCAAAGCTTAAAGATGGAAGTTGCTGTCCCAAATCCCACAGTTGGCACATGGCAGAGCTGGAAATTGAATCTATGTCCAGTTGACTCCAGTGTTGACCTTATTTTTATTTTTTTTTTTTAATTTTTTTATTTTTTTTCAGTCCTTGATGGACCTTTATTTTATTTGTTTATTAATATGTGGTGCTGAGAATTGAACCCAGTGCTTCACACATGCTAGGCAGGTGCTCTACCACTGAGCCACAACCCCAGCCCCAGCGTGGACCTTATTTTTAAAAAGCCCCCAAATTGGATGCAACTTGACAATGACCTAAAGATATCCTCCTCTGGGGAAAATCAAGTTGCATCAGGTACATTTGTTTCAATTGCCAACTGATTGGTGGGTAAGGCTTGTGCAATCGACTTTAGGAGGTGCAGAGGTAGTTTATCATGATTAGACCGTTTGAGGTGTCTGATACTTTATTATAAGCATATTGGAGTAAATCTTACCTGTGATAAGTCTGTAATGGATCTGATTGGACCAAAGCATGTACCTAGCAGTGATAATCAAATGAAAGATTTGGAGCAAAACTCTAGCAACTTCCCTTTTGATGTGCTTCAACCATCTGTACTTGTTGATTATGAACCAGGTCATCTTTGAGCATTTAATCCTCAGTAATTGAAAGAAAATGGTATTACATACATTCTCATTCTATTCTGCTCCTTGCAAAATAATCCTACATTCTTTAAACTCACTTTATAAGCTGTAACTTCAGTTATCTTTTTTAAAACCTCAGAATTCACTCTTTCTCTCATATCAAGTGTCTCCATCCCCACTGACTCTTTCCTTTCATCCTACAAACATGCTTAAGCCTTCTAGAAGGACTGTTGCCCTGCTTTCTTGCCTCATAGAGAGACCATGCTTGCTGCTGTTTTACCTGCTCACCGCCCCTGTCTCTCCCAAGTCCAGTGAGATCTATACTGTTGAAAACTGCTCTCACAGGACCTTGCTGTATTCCTTGACCTTCTCTTAGTCTCACTTCTGTTTCACCCTTTTGCAGTATTTGCTACTGTTAGCTGCTTTATCTTATTGTTGATGTTCACATCTTCTGTGATATTAATTTGTCATTTTTCCTGCTCTCATACCACCTGTCCTCAATTTTATTTCCTAGAAATTCTGGCATAGTAAGAACTCACTAAATGTATATATTTAAATATCTATAGCACATATCTCAAAGAATAGAGTAATGCATTGTATCGTTCACTAAAAAGAAACAAAATTATCTCTTTCCATTTATAAACAAGTACTACAATTCCAATTAAATTTCATTAAATTTGAAGATTGATGAATTACAAAAATTTTCTTTTATTTTTGTATTTCCTTGATATTTACAGACCAAAGGGTGATGGTCCTTTTTTTGTTTGTTTTGTTTTTGTGGTGCTGGGGATTGAGCCCAGGGCCTTGCACATGTTAGGCAAGCACTCCACCACTGAGTTCCATCCCCAGCCCCAATTAGGTGTTTTTAAATAAGATTTTTTTTCCTCTTGCTTTTTCCGTTCAGATAGTTTTCCTATATACATAGCTCTTATTTATAGAACTTGAGTATTGGGTTATGTTGATTTTAGTATGAATCAACCTTTCCTTCATGAATTAGTCTTGTTTTATTTAATTTCAGGCTAATTCAAAAATTAGATTTTCCTACTATGAATTTTTCACTCTATTTCTTGGCTTATGAGGATAAAAATGACTTCCCTAAAGATAAAAATGAAAAAATGGCATGGGTATTCTCCAGAAAAGCTACACTTGAACTGACACAGTGAGTACATTTTTATCTTTTTATGTATTCTAGATTTTAAGTTTTTTTCTTTTTTTTTTTTTTTTTTTTTGCTTATTTATCAGTTTAATTCAATTTGTAACAACATGTTTGAGTGTTTTTATATGGATCTTCTGGTCTGGTCTTTGTTTTATGGTATAAATAGGGTAAATGTCTTTCAGAGAATTTAAGACCCTGAAATAGTAAGATATTTGCCAAACTGTAATTAACTAATGTTTAGAGACTACAACTAAAATCATCCAACATTCAAAATTTTGTTATTTTGTAGTTTTGCTATATTTTTGATCCTGAAATATTATATAATATGTTCCCTTAAAAAGTCATCAAACCATTTTTGTAACAATTAACATTAAAATTTTAAGATAGTTTGCCAGGCCCTGTGGCACATGCCTGTAATTCCCACAATGAAGGAGGCTGAGGCAGGAGTATTGCAGGTTCAAGCACAGCCTCAGCAACCTAGTGAGGCCCTAAGCAACATAGCAAGACTTTGTCTCAACATAAAAAATAAAACGGGCTGGAAGGTATTTTTATAATTTTAACACTTAAAAAATGTAGGAAGAAGGGCTGGGGATATAGCTCAGTTGGTAGAGTGCTTGCCTTGCATGCACAAGGCCCTGGATTCAATCCCCAGCCCCATACACATACACACATTAAGAAAAAAACACTAGAAAGAAAGAGGTATTCCCCCCTTTTTCATTATTATTTTTTTAACTTTGTTTTTATGTACTCTTTAACAGAAGAAAAAAAAAAGAGTGTTTGTTTCAAGATGTGTGATTTAATGTCTATCTGATTTAAAACAAAGTTTTTCTATCAGACAGGCCTAGATATGAGTCTTAAGTACTAACACTAATTCTATGACCCTGAAAAATTCCCTAAAGTGGCAGTCTCATTCATAAAATAGAACTATTCAAGTCTGGGCCATGGAGCTGTTTTGAGGGTTAAATGAAATATAAAGTACTGAGGATAATAAATAATAGTTGCTGTTATTATTGTTATTGTTCGTATTCAGATGCCTGATTTTACAATCTTCTTAATCTAATTAAAATCATAAAATCATACTTTAATGATTACTCTCTGCAGTTGAAAATGTGATATTTGTAGTAGCAGGGGATAGGCCAAGTGTGTAGAGTAGCATATACACATGGCAAGAGTTTAAAGACAGGATTTCTTCTCAGAATATCAGTTCTATAACCTGGTGCAGTGGTGCACGCATGTAATCCCCTTGGGAAGCTGAGGCAGGAGGATTGTAAGTTCAAGACCAGCTTCAGCAACTTAGTGAGGCCCTAAGCAACTTAGTAAGACCTGTCTCAAAATAAAAAATAAAAAGGGCTGGGGATGTGGTCAAGCACCCCTGGGTTCAATCCCCCATACAATAGAACAGAACTATAAGTTATATTTTCCCTTCTTTTGTAGCAATTGGGGTACTGAAAATGATGAGACTCAGAGTTACCACAATGGCAATTCAGACCCTCGGGGATTTGGTATGTTTGTCTGTTTATATGTAACGTGGATTTGTTGATTTTACATGAGATCCATACTTAAAATTATAGTAAACCTAAAACATCACGGCCTAATTAACAAATAAAATCAATTTATTAGAGGTATGTTTTATTTCCACAAATCTTATTAGGAATTATATAATTTCACAGTAAATATACTCACAACAGTTTTACTTTTAAGTCTCCATATTTTATTTTCAGTTGACTTTTTAATTAAAAAAAAAACTATGGTTATTAGAATCTCAATTTCTGTTAGTGTGCACTTCTGTCTTGATTTAAAATTTGTCAATTCAAGATGACAGGATAACAGACTTCAGTTGGCTACTGTATAGTTAATGCCAACAACCTACCTACTAAGCATGATTCTTTTTTGTATAGATTATTCTTAACAGAACTATATGTGAGGTAGTATTGGTTTATTTTAAGTAATGTATCATTTATAGTAACTAATTATTCCATTATACCCAGCTAGTCAGTCTATATTTGTTCTTTATGAGACTCAGTTTGCTTTCAAATGTTATGTTTTTGAAATACACAAGTTTCAGAAGCCACCAAGGCACTTGGAAACCCTGGTATAATTATTTCTTCCTTCTCTCTGTATTTTTCTTTTTTCTTTTTTTGGTGTGTGTGTGGGGGGGTGTCATCTAAGGTCACATTGGAATTGCTGTTCCTGATGTATATGGAGCTTGTAAAAGATTTGAAGAACTGGGAGTTAAATTTGTGAAGAAACCTGATGATGGTGAGTCTAGTACTTACTGATTTTAATGCCTTTCTTTAATTAAGTAATATATATAAGCATCTACAGAGGGCACAGTTCCAGTAAAATCCTTTTGGCTACAGGTAATAGAGGTTGACATCAGTCAACTTAAGGCAAGACGGAAAATTATTAGAATACCTTGTTATCTTAGGGAAATGGAAGACAGGGTGGCTTCACAAGGGACTAGACACAGGATCTGGAGAGCCATCAAAAACCTAGGCTCTTTTTCCCACCCTATAACCCTATCGCATTCTCTCTTTGGCCACCACCTTTCACTCTCTCAGGGTTTAACTGGTCGTCCAAAAATAAGTTTAAGCTGGGGGCAGTGGTACACACCTGTAATCCCAGCGGCGCAGGAGGCTGAGGCAAGAGGAGAATTGCCAGTTCAAAGTCATCCCCAGCAACTTAGTGAGGCCCTAAGCAAGGCAATGAGACCCTGTCTATAAATAAAATACAAAATAGGGCTGGGGATGTGGTTCAGTGGTTAAGTGCCCCTAGGTTCAATCCCCAGTACCGCCCCCCCAAAAAAACCAAAAATGAGTTTGTTTTATTTGATATTAACATAACAATACCAGGTCTCTTTAGTTAATAATTGTCTAGTATTTCTTTTTTAGTACTTTACAATCTTTGTATGTACTTATATTTTAGGTATGTCTCTTGAAATAGTATATATTTGGATTTTGTTTGATTTGCATGTATTATGATTATTTTACTTGGGATCATTTCTGCCATCCAAATTTATTATTTTAAGTTAAAATGTTCATTATTTTATTTTAACCTTTTTTTAAATTAAAGTATTTAACATACATATCTCTTCCCCAATAAGAAAATAACTTATTCCCCTCAACCCCCATCATGTCACCATTACATAGACTGGGATATTATTGATTCATATTTTCTTTTTCTTTGGTTGTGGTATTTTTAAAAATAGCATTAAATACATTAAGGTATTTTGAAAATCTTTTCTGCATATATCTTTTGTATTGAATTTCTCTGTCCATATATATATATATATGCATATATATTATATCTATATCTATATCTATATCTATATCCCATATATATATACTTTAGTTATAGATGGACACAATACCTTTATTTTATTTATTTATTTTTATGTGGTGCTGAGGATCAAACCCATATGTTAGGCAAGCACAGTACTACTGAGCTACAGCCTCAGCCCCTTTTGTCCCTTTTTATGAGTACCTCAACCAAAACTATTTTCCAAAGGTATTTGAGGCAAAACTTTTGAGACTTTGTATGCCCAAGAATCATATTTTTATATGAATGACAGTTTTGTTGAAAATCCTAGGTTTGTTTTCTTTCAATCTTGAAATACTACTCCATTGCTGGTTTGCATAGTTTTACAGTTCAAAAATATACTGTCAATCTGTTTGGGTTCCTTTATATAGTGCATTCTGTGTTATTCTGGAAGTTTTTATATTCTTCATTACTGTGCCTTCTTTCTAGAGATATTTTCTCAAACTGATATACCAGCTAACTAATTATTCCCCAAATGTATCTGTTCTGCTATTTAATTCAACTGTTGTGTTTTTAATCTATTATTTTTTTGGTCCCTTAGTTTTGCTTGGTTCCTTTAATATTTTCTTGTTCTTGTTTCATGTTGGTGATATTATTTCATATTATCCATCAATTTTACATGTTTTAATAATTTTTGGTCCATATTGTCCTAATATTTCATCTTGTTGGGAGACAAGGTTTTGCTGAGTTGTTGAGGGCCTTACTAAATTGCTGAGACTGGCTTTGAACTTGCAATCTTCCTGCCTCATCCTCCTGAGCTGCTGGGATAATAGGCATGTGCCACCATGCCCAGCTATAATTTTATATAAAAATACACACACACACACACATTCAATTGTTATGTTCTTTAAATTCTTGTTATTTTGACCTCTAAACTTACAAACACACACACACACACACACACACCTACAGTTGTTTGCTATTTCAGTCCGTCGTATAGCGTGAATAGAAGAAGTCCTGTCCTTAACAACCAGAATGATGTTAAGAAAATGGGCAGGGTAAGCCAGGGCTGAAATTCCTTGGAACCTGGAAATGAGTCAAACTCTTTACACTCCCCACAACAACTCTTTCCAACTTTGTCCCTAAGGGAAAAGCAGTATTAGTAGGAAACACTTCTGAGATTGTCATTCCCTAGCCCTGGGCATGTGGAAGTGGGTTGGGAGATGAGGTAGTCCCTTTCTCACGTCCTCATAAGCATAAGTTTTCTGTGCCATCCTTATTTAATTCTGAGGACATCTGTTAACCAATGCTTTGAGCCCCCAAGTGTAAGGGCAGGTGCCAATGCCCCCGGTGCTGAGGGGAGCAAAAGCAAAACTCCTGCTTATTCTCCCACAATTGTAATGTACTTCCTTCTGGTCTGACCCACAGAGACTAGGTTAAAATAGCCACTCTACCCCGCTTCCACCTGTTCTTCTCATCCACCCCCCTGAGATCTTCACTTTTCCCCCCAATGTTTTCCATTTGTATCCTTTTGGGTTAGCCTTGGAGAAAGCATCCAGGGAAAGGAGTCAAATCAATTCAGCATCTTGGTCCCAAAATAAATTTCTCAGGTTACATTTTTACATGTAAGCAAACAACTCTGACTTGTTAGCCTTTCCATCCCAGTTACGAATTTCTGGGAGAAAGAATCTGATTGTCAGATTTATGTGACTCAAGTCTGTAGATATTTTGTAGGTAGGACACACTATCTGTTCTCTTAAGCACCTTCCTATTTTCTTCTTTAAAATAATATGGGGCTGGGGCTGGGGATGTGGCTCAAGCGGTAGCGCGCTTGCCTGTCATGCATGCAGCCCGGGTTCGATCCTCAGCACCACATACAAACAAAGATGTTGTGTCCGCCAAGAACTAAAAAAATAAATAAATATTAAAAATTAAAAAAAAAAAAAAATAATATGGGGCTGGTGCATTTCTGTAATCCCAGCTGCTTAGCAGGCTGAGACAGGAGGATCGTGAGTTCAGAGTCAGCCTCAGCAGCTAAGCAAGGCCTTAAGTACCTCAGCAAGACCCTGTCTCTAAATAAAATACAAAAAAAAAGTGCTATAGATGTGGTTCAGTGGTAAACACCCCTGGGTTCACTCCTGGGTACATAAAAACAAAAATAAATGGCACTTGCACAATGGTGCATACCTGTAATCCCAGCATACTGGGAGGCTGAAGCAGGAGGATCACAATTTCAAAGCCAGCCTCAGCAATTTAGCAAGGACCTGAGCAACTTAGCAAGACCTTATCTCAAAACAACAACAACAACAAACAGGCTGGGGATGTGGCTCAGTAGTTAAGCACCTCTTGGTTCAATCCCTGGTACCCCAAAATAATACTAACATTATTATTATTTGTGACTGCTGAATTGGTGTTATGAACTGTATCATGAAGATGAGGTAAACACTTGATACCTAACAGATGTTTCAGTCCCATGGTTTATTTTAGGAGAGCTTGTTTTCAGCTGTGTGTGGAAAATAACATTTTAGTTATTATGAAAAACATAAATTTGGGCAAAACTGACAAGATAGAATTTTGTTTTTCTATGCTATTGGGGATTAAACACAGGAGTGCTGTACAACTGAGCTACATTCATAGCCCTTTTAATTTTTTATTTTGAGGCAGAGTCTCACTAAGTTGCCCAGGCTAGCCTCAAACTTGTGATCCTCCTGCCTCAGCCTCCTGAGTTGCTGGGATTACAGGTGGTCCAGCACAATATAGAATTTCTTTTAAAAAATCAATAATAGTTCACAAATTTACATATCAATCCTGTGCAGGGGCTATGCTAATCTCTATCATTCTAATTTTTAGTATATGTACTGCCAAAGTGAGCACACAATATAGAATTTTTTTTTTTTTTTTGGTGCTGGGGATTGAACCCAGGGCCTTGTACATGTGAGGCAGGCACTCTACCAACTGAGCTGTATCCTCAGCCCCACAATATAGAATTTTTTAAAAGTATAAAACTACAGAGGCTGGGGCTGTAGCTCGGTGGTAGAATGCTTGCCTTGCAGGTGTGAGGCCCTGGGTTCGATTCTCAGCACCACATAAAAATAAATAAACAAATAAAGATATTGTGTCCATCTACAACTTAAAAAAAAATTAAAACTACAAATGTGGTTGTGGTTGTGGTTCAGTGGTAGGTTACTTGCCTAGCATGTGTGAGGCACTGGGTTCGATTCTCAGCACCATATATAAATAAATAAAAACAAAGGTCCATTGACAACTAAAAAAAATTTTTTTAAAACCTACAGACAAAATAGTGTATTTTAAAATGTAAATTAAAATTTGAATTAATAAAACTATTTAAAAAAATTTTTTTTTAGTTGTCAGTGTACCTTTATTTTATTTATATGTGGTGCTGAGAATCTAACCCAGTGCCTCACACATGCTAGGCAAGCTCTCTACCACTGAACCACAACCCCAGTGTGATAAAACTATTTTTAATTTACAAGGCTTTTGTTTGTTTGATTGTTTTTTTGAGTTTTTCCAGTAATGAAAAATTTTAATTTACAGGTAAAATGAAAGGTCTGGCATTTATTCAAGATCCTGATGGTTACTGGATTGAAATTTTGAATCCAAACAAAATAGCAGCATCTATTAGTTCATGAGAATGCTCCTTTTACGATGTCAGTGAAGATGGTGATGAGGAAGGAAACAATATGACTCAAGATATCAGATACCAGAAGCATCTAGAACTGATGGATCATTGTTCCAGTTCAAATTATTCTTTAGTCTATTTCGCTTTCCTTTTTCAGCTGTTTTTTCCACCTAAATGATCATTCTAGTTTTAAAGTAGTGCTTTATCTTATGACCTTGAATGTAGTTCTATAACTTTACTTTTTAGGCAATAATTATAACAATTCCCTTTAGAGGCTGCATTTGCTGCCTTCTGTCTCCTAAATATTACTTTTCTTCAGGTCTGCCTTTGAATCATCATCTTTTGAAAAAGAAACATTTATCATTTTTTTGTGGTGGTTATCTTCTGGGGTTTCAATTCCTCAGAAATAACTTTTCACAATGGAAAGTAAAGAACACTGAACAAAAATGAATCTTCATGTGTACTTCAAACAGTATAAAGTGTTTATTTTACAAAAGAGAAGGTACTCTTGAGAGCAATTCAGAATCATGCTGACAGGGATACTGATAGAAAAACTAATTTCTTTTTTATTTAAAATACTTTTAAGGTTCAAGGACTAACCTCATTTATTTGGGATTGGGGAGGAGGGAGGGAATAATATTTACTAGGTACCCATGCCTCAGACTAAGCTGTAATATACTGTATATCACTTAATACTCTAGTATTAAAGCTAGACATGTTGTTTTAGTTAACATTCTTGCTGCTATGACTAAAAGACATGACAACAATTTTAGAGGAGGAAAAGTTTTATTTGGTGCTCATGGTTTCAGAGGTCTCAGTCCATAGATGACCAACTTCATTGCCCTGGGCCCAACGTGAGATAGAGCATCATGACCAAAAGGTGTGGAAGATGAAAGCAGCTCAGGCCCGCAATCAGGAAGCAGAGAGAGCTCTGCTCACCAGCAACAAAAGACAAACCCCAAAGGAACATCTCCTCCCTCTTCCAGACACATCTTACCTGCCTACAGTTACCACCCACTTAATCTATATCAATGAATGATTAATACGCTGATTAGGTTAAGGCTCTACAGTCATTTCACCTCTAAACTTTCTTGCATTGTCTCACACATGAGCTTTTGGGGGACACCTCATATCTAAACTATAACACATGTAAAATATAATGAATTGAAGGCAATATGAATAGGCTCAAGTACTCAAGATCTCATTATTATTTTTACTATTTAGATTATGCCTCAAAATTCCTCACCATGCCTCCTGCACTAGTATCTTAGTGTAAAACCTTCAGTGAGTTTGCACACTGTGCTCTTAACTCTTGGGCCTGAGTACCGCAATGAGGGTGGAAGCTTAGAAGTCTGTAAGACAGGCTACCCTACACACAATTACTCCTGCACCGGTGATACCCAACTCACAAGGAGTCTTCCCTACCCCATGGTCTTTATGCTTCTAGTAATCACATTATACTCACTGGTAGCAATAACTTAGTTACTCAGAAATCAGCTCTGCAGTCTTCCCTCCTATGATTGATGGTTTGCTAGATTTCAAAAAATCATGGTGATTTTGAAAATGTCTTATGGCCCGAGAATTAAAAACATCCAGTTTGTGGTTTAGGTTTTCTGTAGACTGTAGTGGAAGACCTTTGGATAGGCCATGCCAATTATTCTTGCACTGCTAGAAACACTTTACATTTCCTTTTTAGATGAAATGTAATTTGTTTGAGCAATTTAAACAAATAACTGAAATAAAATTTTAGATAAGACCGTTTAATTTGTAAACTTCTTTCAATCAAGTTCTTTCTTCCAAAAGGCTGTCCTTAGTACTGAAAGGATTTGAAATGGCTTGCAAGGTCATTCTGAACTGGGAGTAGTCACAATTGTATACAGCCTGTTAACCAGGTAGTTTGTATAGGCAAAGAAGGTGGGAATTACAAGAATAAGATCATAAAAAAAAAGAAGGGTGGGAAGAGGAAAGGATAAGGAATAAGCGATTGTGGCAGGAAAGTACACAGAGAAGAAAGATCAGATATCAAATTGTGAGTCATAGAAACTTAAGAAAACCAGTTTCAGTGTTGAATGCTACAATTGTCAAATGGAAGCCCTCTTAGATCCATAAATTCAATAACTTCAAACCTTATTTCCAGGAAAAGAAGATTTCTCTACTTGCTAAATAAATCTTGCCAAAGACAGTTCTTGTTTATTTCTTAATTTCATTCCTATATGCATTGAAAAAAAATATTGTATAAGCAGGCCTTCCTAGGGATTAGAACAATTCACCTCCAAATTAACTTGCCTGACAAGTGGTGACAGGAAAAAGCAAACCAGAGGACAAGAAGTTTTCTTCTATGATTAGACAGTGGTACTGTGGCTTAAGGTCAGTGTGGAGTCGTGGCCCATGAGCCCTACAGGGCTGAGACTGGGACTCCATTATTATACAGGTGGTTTGAATATCGAGCTGATGGTTGAACAGTAATCATTTGTGGTCTCCCCACACAGTATTTTGACTAGGATTTGCTTAACACTGTGTTAGGTCATGCTGCTATCACAAAAATACCATGGACTAGAAGGCTTAAACAACAAACATTTATTTCTCACAGTTTAGGAGGCTGAGAGGTCCATGATAAAGCACCAGCAAGCAGACCCAGGGCTAGGTGAGGATCCCTTTCCTGGCTTGTAGATAGGCAACTTCTTGCTGTGTCTTCACACTGCCAAGAGAAATCTCTTATGACTTTTAAAAGAACACTATTCCTGGGCTGGGGTTGTGGCTAGCCTAGACTGCGAGGGCCTGGGTTCGATCCTCAGCACCACATAAAAATAAATAAATAAAATAAAGGTATTGTGTCAACTGCAACCAAAAAAAATTTAAAAACAAGAACACTATTCCCTTTGGCTTGGGATGTGGAGGCAAGGGGATTATGAGTTCAAAGCCAGTCTCAGCAACCAGCGAGGCGCTAAGCAACTCAGATCATGTCTCTAAAATAAAATGCAAAATAGGGCTGGGAATGTGGCTCAGTGGTTGAGTGCCCCTGAGTTCAATCCCCAGTAACAAAACACCATTCAGGAAGGCTCTGCCCTCATAGCCTAATTACCTCCCCAAAGCCCCAAAGAATTTGGGGGGAAGTTATGGATGAGGTGATGCTTGTTAAGTTTCTCCAACACATCCATCTCCTTTCTGTACTCTTTGAAAGGAAGCCCACACGTATGGGGGAATTGTACTTCAACTCCTTGAGAAGAAGAAATAGGGTTGTGTTGTTTTCTATATTCAGTGGGACTTCCCAAGACTGTGCAGGCTATTGCTGGATGTCCAAAATCCCTGCTCACAATTCACCAGAAACCAGTAGTGAAACCAACTGAAAATGTCCAAGTTTCCATAATAACCCCTAGGGGTCAGTACTGCCCTATTGAGAACCACTGATAGAAGGTTTCCAATTCTGGTCTCTCTCTCTCTCTCTCTCTCTCTCTCTCTCTCTCTCTCTCTCTCTCTCAATATTTTTTAGTTGTAGGTGGACACAACACCTTTATTTTTACCTTTTATATTTTAACCCTTTATTTTTTTTGTGGTGCTGAAGATCAAACCCAGTGCCTCATGCATGCTAGGTGAGCGCTTTACCTCTGAGCCACAACCCCAGCCCCCAATTCTGGTTTCTTTAAAGTGGAGCATAAATTTAAAGCATTTACAAAGGATTCTGAGTGCCGAATCCATACTGTTATGCTTTCCTCCTGATTTACATATGATTTTCACATCTAACTCAGCAGCAATTTATATGAGCCATTTGTCTTGGAGAGTTCTATAAAATGTTCAACTTTCTTTTCATATGAACTTGTTTGAGGACTAGGAGTGTAGCTCAGTAGTAGAGTGCTTACTTAGCATAGGTGGGGCCCTGGATTTGATCCCCAGCCCTGCAAAGCGGGGGGGAACCCTTAAGTTCATTTTTAATGTTTTATATAACATTAAATTATATACTTGAATTTTTTTTAGTTGTAATTGGACACAATACCTTTATTTAATTTATTTATTCATATGTGGTGCTGAGGATCGAACCCAGGGCCTCTCACATGCTAGGTGAGTGCTCTACTGCTGAGCCCCAATCGCAGCCCCTAAATTATATACTTCTATAATGACAAAGATAACTGGATTGAATATGTTTGTATGGACACAGTTGACAGCTCATCCACAAATCAGAGATGGAGCTATCCAGAGAGGACAACCAGTTACATTAACTCAGCCTTTCAATTCTCAGTTCTTTACTGAAGAAATGGTGAAGCAGATTAGTAATTGGATAAGTGGAAATTAATTGATAGAATTTATACTATAAATGCACAGGTTTGAGTCCCACAATATTATAGAAGGTTTTTTTTTTTTTTATGCCAATACCCAGGTCTGCTGTAGAGGTAATGGAATAGGCACTTTCATAGACTTCAAACTGTTTACACATTTCATTTTGCAGTAGGTTTCAAGAGTTTAAAGACTAAAATGTCCAGATCCTTTTACTGGGTAATATTGTGATATTCTGGGAATTCTGTTTCCTAGAAAATAGTCAGATTTCAATGTCTAAAATATATACAATGTGTTGCTTGTGTTATTTTCTAGCAACAAAAAATTAGAAATAAAAGCCCCAAATGGAGAAATAGTTAACATTCATAGTACCCATAATAATAGAATATCATCTATTCTAACATGACTTAAGCACTTTGTGCTTGATTTAAACACTATTTAAAACTCTATTTAAACACCTGTGCCTTCAAAGAACACTTAAAAACATAGCAAACTGCACCTGAGACAGGAAATGAAAAAAAGCATTGTACCCTTAATCTCAGCGGCTCAGGAGGCTGAGGCAGGAAAATGGCGAGCTCAAAGCTAGCCTCAGCAATTTAGCGAGACCCTAAGCAACTTAGTGAGACCCTATAAGTAAAATATTTTTTAAAAAGGGCTGGGGGTGTATCTCAGTGATTAAGCATCTCTGGCTTCAATCCCTAGTACCAAAAAAAAAAAAAAGAAAAAAAAAATACTTGGAGGGAAAATACCAAGTTGTTGTGGTTAACCCTGGCTGCTGAGATTACCAAAGATTTTATTTCTTTCCTGGTATTTTTCTGTATTTTCCAAATTCTTTAAAATGGTCAAGTATCATTTTTATAATCTGAAAAATTGATAAGAAATATTGTTTAATATGCTAACATTTATATTATTTACCTTTTGATTTAAATTATATATGTTAACAAATATGCATTTTGTCTGCCACTCACATGTCTGTTCAGGATGATAATATTAAAAATTGGAAGATACATTTATATTAAGGTGTTCAAAAACTCTTACAAGACTTACAATTCTCATGACCAAGTTCAATTGACATTCAAAATTTGTTTAATGATTTAAACATAATGTTTAAATATTACAAAAGTTGAATGAAACATGTAAAACCCATAAAGTTGGCATTATATCTATATAATATTTATTTTTTAGCTGTAGTTGGACACAATACCTTTATTTCACTTATATTTATTTTTACGTGGTGCTGAGGATCAAACCCCCTTGCATGCAAGGCGAATGCTCTACCGCTGAGCCACAACTCCAGCCCCAGCATTATATTTTTTCCACATTTCCAGCTCTTAGTTGACTAATTCTGAAGAAACTTTCTTTTGTTACAATTTGGTAGCCACCACCCTACCAAACTATATTTTATTTAAGAAAATGTAGCTAACATGTATCAAAAACCTACATAACATAGTCATCTTACCAGTATTTTAGACAGCCTCCCTACTTCAAGGTAGCTGCTGTACCAGTAGCATCACCATCACCTTGGAGCTGATTGAAAATTAAGAATTTCAGTCTTCACCTCTGCCTTACTGAATCAGAAATCTGTATTTTTCATAGAATCTCCAGGTGATAGATATGGACAATAAAGTTTGAGAAGCACTTTTTACAGACTCCTATCACCGGCATCAGCAAAAATGTTTACCTCCAAAAATACAAATTCGTTTCTCCCAGTATTACATAGTGAAACATATTATTTGTAGCAATGAATTACAGGTGGTGTGTCTAATCCACAAACACAAGAGTGTAAGAAGCAGGAATTTTCTTTATTCTAATCATACATAAAGCTCCCTATTTTTTGAGGGTTAAAAACCAAGTTTCAGTAAATACAGGATCTCTCCTGCTACTTTCCTCTGGGGGAAAATCTTAAATTCTTGAAGGTGGAGGAAGGTAAGCATGTAGTCTTCCTAGGTGAACCATCCCACTAGCATTTGCTAAAATGACAGTCAGGGGCTCCATGAAAGACAGGACCTCCTTTAGGAGTGAGGGGTAAAACCTTTCAGGGGAAGTAATACAGCCAAGCTAGCTCTCAGTTTTACAGGGTTAACAGCTGTACCAGAGAATTAGGAGTTAGGGGTGCACCAGTCTCCAAGTTCATGGGAATGATAATGCCAGGAGATGGAAGGCTGGGAGGTTATGTGGTCAGCAGAAATGCCAGGTCTGAATAAAATAATATTAAAAACCTCAGATGAGAAGGTCAATTCAGGTAGTGAGGGGCAAACCCATGTGTAGACTCTCACCAAAGTAACCCAATAACCTTCACCTTATTAGCATAGTAAAATGCACAGCCCTAGGTGGAGATTTAAGATGGTAAGGAGACAGACAACACATGAAGAAGCACGATGAAGAGGTGCGCAGGCGCCACTCAAGTCCCACCTCTACATGTGATGGCATCAAGAGACTAAGTTCCTGCCTACCAGTAGATATGACAGAAAAGCCACTTCCCTTTGCTATTTGCTTGTTTTCTGATTTCTGTCCCCCATATGTGGTTTCCCTCCTGGCTTGATACCATCGTTAACTATTATTACTGACTCCTTATTGCTGGCACCTCCCTTCTGCTTCACTATTTCCATACCATGTTGGCCTTTAAAGAGATCTTTGTGGCTAAGACTTCTCCACAACCCTTTGCTATTCCATGGGAAATTAATTCTATGAGATTTATATAAGGTCCTATCTCACAGATATTTCTTTAGCCATTGCTTCTCAGGGGTCTTGCTGACTCCAGGAGGTATACCTGGGAGGCCAAATACAAGCCCCCTCTCCTTCTAGATCCCCAGATACCTTTATCTAAGGATTTTGTGGTTTATCTTAATCACTAAGTGAGAGAAAGGTGAGGCCTCTTCACAGGGACTCACTGAAGAGCCCTCTGTCCTGACTCCCCTTCCCACAAGCCAAAGAATATCAAGGTTCAGAGTTTTGAAAGTCAAGAGCCTTTTTTCTATTATACCATCCCTGGGCCCAGGGTCTAGCTGCCTGATGGGGATGGGGCCATGGGTTACAAAGAAATGCAGGGAGGTAAATTAATATTTTTAAATACCATGTCACATGAGTTATAGGATATAAGGATTTAACACACAGTCATGTTAAATGTCCTTTTAGAACAAGAAGGCTAAAAATATGAGATAGATCCTTTATCAAGAAAAATTAGAATTTTTGGAGGCAAACTGCACAAAACAGCTAGAAAACAAGAAGCAGAATACCTACAGGAGTAAAGTAGGTTTAATAGCACCCTTTTGACAGGGCTCATTGGTGCATACCTGTAATCCCAGCAGCTGGGGAGGCTGAGACAGGAGGATCATGAATTCAAAGTCATCCTCAGCAACAGCGTGTTACTAAGCAACTCAGTGAGACCCTGTCTCTAAATAAAATACAAAATAGGGCTGGGGATGTTGC